GCGCTCGAGGAACTTGATGAGGATGTTGTCCTGATCTGTCGCAGACAATACCGCGCAGTGGAGATACGACCAGTAGCAATCACCTATAGAGACAGAGTCTCAGCGAGTGTAGAAGACACAGAGCTAACATTAGCAGTACCTATAGAGACAGAGTCTAGGTACAAGTCATGAGTATGAGTCGTAAGAGATCATAAGAGAGTATGCATACCTCAGCGAGTGTAGAAGACACAGAGCTGAGGATATGGAGCGTATAGTACTAGGTTTATATACCAGTCTGGAGCAGATATCATGATGTCATAGTGGAGTAGTAATATCATAGATGAGTAATGGATGACACAATAATGAGGTCAGGTATGAGGTCATTGTGGAGCAAGCCAAAGTAATCTAAAGATACTACATATGATGTCATGTCTACATACTGTGATAGTCGCTAATACAAACAAGCTTCAACACTCCCACTCAACTAAACAGTCGGATCACGAAGACCCAAAGACAGCCGATGTTGTTGGAACTTCACCCATGCCAAAGACTTTGTGAGCATGTCTGAGATCATCGCATCAGTTGGCACATGGTAAAGTTGGACATTGCCAGCTTCGACGGATCCTTGTACAAAGTGATAGCGGATGTCGATGTGCTTTGTCCTCCTATCATGAACTGGATTTACTGCCATAAAGATAGCGCCTTGGTTATCAACACAAAGAGGCGTGGATGGCAAGTCATATCCGAGCTCAGTCAACAAAGTGCGGATCCAGGCAATCTGGCGTGTAGCATTGCTCAGAGCCATGTATTTGGCCTCTGTTGAGGACAAAGCGACCGTGGGTTGGCGTCTAGAAACCCAGGTCACTGCACAGCCGGCGATGAAGAAGGAATATCCCGTGGTAGAATGCCTATCGTCTTTGTTCTCCGCCCAATCAGCATTGGAATAACTGATAAGGCCTGCGCCAGTGGAACCATCATAGCAAAGTTGGTGGTGTTTGGTGCCTTGAAGGTACCGCAGTATGTATTTTGCTATGTTCTAATGATGTTCTGACGGGTTGCTGTTGAACTTTGAAAGATGGATGACTGTGTAGGCAATGTTGGGGCATGTACCAAGCATGGCGTATAGAAGACTGCCAATCAGCTGCTGGTAACGGGTACGACGGTCTTCATCAACTTCTCCATCATGCTTCTCAAGCACGATGCTGGAAGGCAGGGGAGTATGAGCTTCTTTGCAAGAAGACATCCGGAAACGTTCTAGAACTCCTTCGATATAGGAAGCCTGATCGATCCAGATTTTACGCGCTTTGCGATCACGAACTATGTTCAGACCAAGGAAATCCTTCGCAGGACCAAGATCTGTCATTTTGAAGCGGTTCGCAAGCAATGATTTGATCCGCACTATCTCTGGCAGATTGTTGCCTATAATGAGCATATCGTCAACATACAGCACCAAGATAATGACCGTATCTCCCATTTGTTGGCAATATGTGTAGACACTGGCGTTGGAGTATGTCCGAGCAAAACCAAGTTCGAGGAGGGCATTGTGGATTTTGATATTCCACTGACAAGACACCTGTTTTAACCCATAGAGTGATTTACGAAGGCGCGCCACCTTTTCTTCTTCAGTTGAGCCTTTGCTGGCCAGACATTCCATCAAATAAAATACTGTGTTGCACAACAGTAGTGTGATTGGGTGTGGGAGCTGAGCCCAGGGCGCAAAGCCGGCGGGGTGCGGATGACCCCAAAATGTGCTGCCCAGCCAGAACAACGCCGGCTCACCCAAAGAAAGCAGCACAACTTGTGTGTCAGTAAAATATGCATGATATGCACGCCGGAAAATGTGTAGGCTATGCACAGCGCACAACATGCACAGATGCAGGCTATGCATTGTCAAAAATGCATGATATACACCGCAGGAAAATGCAGGATATGCGCAATTCTAGGCTAATCAAAGTCGAAATAGGCACAATATGCAAGCCGGAAAATGTGCAGGCTACGCCCAGTGCATGAAATGAGCATGTGCAGGCAATACCCGTCAAATATGGACGATATGCAGCCGAAATATGGACGATATGCATGCCGGAAAATGTGTAGGCTATGCACGGCGCACAATATGCATGGGTGCAGGCTATGCACACCAGAAAATGCGCAGGATGTGCACAGTGCACGATATGCGTGGGAGCAGGCAACGAATAGGCGTAGGTGCATACTATCCACTGCCGAAAAAGCATGATATGCACAGTAGAAAATACACAGGATATGCGCAAGTGCAGGCTATGCACAGTCGAAAATTGCATGACATGCATAAGGCTCCAACTGTTTCTGTTTATGAATATTTTAAACAGTTATAACTGTTTTTGTTTCTGTTTAATTTGTGGGAGTCCTCAAACGGTAAACATAAAGTAAATAAACAGTTAAAACAGTTTCAATTTGTGCTTGAAATGGACTCTGCAAGACATTGCCTGTGGATTGCACACAAACTTCAGAGTTACATCCAGGACAATCACGCTAAGATTAGAGTAGTCAAGATTAGATATGAAGTATACAGCCTGACCTGGCTGGTGTTCTCTCAGCCTCTCTGATTGTCATCTATTTACCAGCATCTCTACAGAGACATTGTCAAGTAGACCCTATGACTAAAATTGTTGGCCTGAAATTCACCCTATAGGCCCTGTTTTGGGAGCATCTTGCGCAATGAAGGCGCAGACATCATGTGAATAGAAATGTGTGACAGGATTGTGACCCAACATGTCGTGGATTGATCTTTTTCTGCACTCTTGGGTCACTATAGTCAGATGGTTTTTGAGCCTAATAGGGTACCAAAAGTGGTCGTTTTTTAGCCTTAAGAGGGTCCAAGACCACTTCGTGGTCTCAGACCAACCGCTTTTTGGCTACAACCACCCTTCCCAAATCGGGTAGCCAGGCCATCTGGACCACTGAAAAAGGGCGGTCTCGACCAGTTTTCGCCAGTTGGTCGCACCCATCCCCATTCAGCTCCTGGTGGTCAGGACCATTATTTGACCCGTGGTGGCACCAGTGGTGGTCCCGACCGCATGTGGTTGCGACCACCCCGCGCTTGCTCTGGTGGGTGGTTTCGACCCAGGGGAGCGGAATGTGGGCGGAACCACCCTTTCCTCAACCATTTGCAAATCCTCCAGCTACCCTTGCCAGCTGTTTGTATCGGGCTACTAGCTTGTAGACAGGCACTATTCAGCCTATTGCACGGCCGGAATGCTGGGCCCAGTCCCAGGGCCGGCCGTAGGCCGGGAAAAAAAATTCGAAAATGCTCCCATTTCCACTCCAGGCTGCTTGTACAGGCCATATAGCTGATTGACCGGTACATGGGTACGGAATATAGCCCATGCCAAGCCGAGGATGCTGCGCCTCGTCCCAGGGCCGGCCATAGGCCGGGAAAGAGAATTTTCGAAATATTCCCATTACTGCTCTAGGCTGCTTCTTTGCGCAGTCCAGCTTGTCTCAAGGATCCATGGATGCGTACCTACCGTATATATACTCCGGGACCCTGTGCCCGGCCGCAGGGGGGCTGTAGGCCGCGAAAGCACATATTGGGAAAGTGGGTGGTTCCGACCACTGACATTTGAAACTGGGCGGAACCACCCTTTCCTCACCCATTTGCGAATCCTCCAGCTACCCTTGCCAGCTGTTTGTATCGGGCTACTCGCTTGTAGATGGCCACCGTTCAGCCCATTGCACGGCCGGAATGCTGGGCCCAGTCCCAGGGCCGGCCGTAGGCCGGGACAGAAAATTTTCGAAAATGCTCCCATTGCTAGTGTAGGCTGCTTGTACAGGCCATATAGCTGATAGACGGGTACATCGGTACGGAATATAGCCCATGCCGAGCCGAGGATGCTGCGGCTCGTCCCAGGGCCGGCCATAGGCTGGGAAAGAAAGTTTTCGAAAATATTCCCATTGCTTTTCTGGGTTGCTTTTTTGGGCCATATAGCTTATAGACACGGAAATCGGTTCAAAATCTCGCCTCTGCAGAGCTGAGGATGCTGCACACGGTTCAGGGCAGGCTGTAGGCCCCGAAAGCGCACGTTGGGAAAATGGGTGGTCCCGACCACTTTGATCAGAAACCGGGCGGAACCACCCTCTGCGCACACATTTACAAATGCTCCTATTGCCCTTGCAGGCTTTTTGTACTGGTCTCTTAGCCTGTAGATCGGTACTGTTCAGCCCATTGCAAGGCAGGAATGCTGTGCCCAGTCCTAGGGCCGACCATAGGCCGGGAAAGAAAAATTTCAACAATGCTCCCATTGCTTTTCTAGGTCGCTTTTATGGGCCATACAGCAGGTAAAAATCTTCATTGTTGCGAAATATAGCCGATGCCAAGCTGAGGACGCTTCTCTCAGTCCCTGGCTGGCCCCTGAACCACTCCCCGCTCCGGTGGTGTGATATTTTGCTGCTGGAAGTACATTTGAGTGATTTCATGCAGATTCCCCATCTCCAACTCAACGTTGCCCTCCCTTGGTTGGGCTTCACTGGTCAGAACCTCCTGAAACCATACGTGTTTTTCTGTCAGTGCTTTCACACTCATATTCTCAGCATTCTTGAACGTGATGACGCAGCAGCTGGGTGACCAGGAAGACATCATAATGTCCTCACTGAACCTCCTGTGATCATCTGCTGTGAAATGCCACACAGCTGCAGAGACAGCTGAGTGCGTATACCAACTGCAGATTGCACGTAGATCCCTCTGCTCGCGCCCACCCTACCAATTCTTCGATGGCCCATACCACCCTCTCCCTTGAGCAAAGGTCCCAACCACCCTCTCTGAATGGCTGGTGGCGACCATCTGAAAGTGCTCTCCTTGGTCGGTACCACCCTTCTCATCTTGCATGGGTCCCAACCACCCTCCAGAATTGTTGGTTGCGACCGATTCTCCTTTCCAACCAACCTTGGCATTCAAATCTTTAACCTCACTGCAACCCCGTCACACTTCATTCATTACTGGCACGGCAAACGCATCACGGGTTCAAAATAGATACATGGCAAAATAGTCATTCAGGTCCCCCCCACTCCCAGCTATCGTTCTCACACACATCCTCCTGAATGACTGAGAGCTCGTCACTGTTCACCGGGTCACCGTTCCGGTGCCGCTGGTGCATCTTTTCTTGAGCCTGACTCAAGTCCGAGTCGGAGGGACCCCAATTGGTTTCAAAGTCCTCGGCTGGCAAATCTTTGCGCCAATCCGCACAGAGCTCAATCAATTTCACCCGTCGAATCTCGAACTGGTATTGTAAAGCGGGGTCACCTGGGCTTGTCATCAACAGAATCCACGAGGAGCCATCCCACGGACTCACCTGCAGTGCAGATAGCATGGTTGATCACTGACCATTCCTCTTGAAACCATGCCTTCATCGACCTCCGCTCGTTGCGCAGGAACCGATCCTCTTCCAATGCGCGCCTCTCGTCAAGAAGAGCCTTGATACCCTCCTTGACCGATTCGTTTACCAACCAGTCGGGGGGAGCGCTACTGGAGTCCTCATCTGTCAACCCAACATCATCCCAGATCTTGTCATCGACATCGAGGTTTGGGACTTTCTTTGTGACTATTGGAACGGGTATCTTGGCTCCTCTGGGTGCCTGATTGTGGATGGCCATGTCCGCTAGCTTTGCGCAGAGCTTGTTGAACTCCCCCACGAGTCGCCGAATGCGTGGCAGCCTCTTGCTTACTGATGAAGCAATTGCATTCCGAAGTTTCCAATCTGGCAAACAAGGTCAGTTGGTGCATTGATCCACCCCTAGTCAGGTGTCGCTCACCAGAGGAACCTTGCTGCCGATGACCTGATCTCTTCAACTCTGACAGCTCCATGTTCCGAGATCGCAGAAGATCACGAATCCGTGTCTTCAGTGCAAGGGCATTCATTCTCTGCTCGAAGAACTTATTAGACTTTGCTTTATTGAGTCTCGCCCTGCTGTCTATGCCAAGCACCGCCTCCTTCTGTTTGAGAGATTCCTCAATGGACTCGAGATCCATCTTGGCTTCGAGGAGCGCTGACCGCGCCATCAGCTGGGAATGCTCCTCAGCCTCGGAAGCATTGTCCCAGGCTTCTTGAGCCTCTTCCACGCGCACGCGCGCGCACTTTTTCTCCTCGCGAAGCGCTAGCACCTCGTTGACCGCCTCAATCCCGAGGCGCTTGGAACGATCTGTCAATTCAGGGTGAGAGATGCACTAAACGGGCGTGGGGGCGGCATACTGGGATGCGGCTTTGTCTGTGCTTCCACTTGAAGATCCCATTGCTTGGCCAATGCATCGCGATCGAAGCCCTTTGTGGCAACATGGGCCAGGATGGCTTGAGCCATCTCGCGTTTCTCGTCGCTGAAAGCCTGCCGACGAGATATCCAAGCGCCCAATGTGCGAAGGCTGTTCTGTTCAATGAATTGGACTTGGGCATTCAATGTATACAATCGATGATAGGACTGCAGACTTGTGAGTTCTTGCGCAACTGCAACGAATGGAATCGACTTACCCCGGAGATACGGAGATGGCCAATCAGGCGACTGAGCTGATGCCACAGTCGCTCACATCCCTCACCACTAGTAAATCCCAGCCCCTCCCGTTTCCGAGGGTGATACCGAACTTGACACTCCAGGCGGTGCACAAAGGCATGGAAGACCACGACCGCAAAAACCATCCGGGTGATAAACGGGGCAAGGAAGCCCCACTTGTGCAGGGAGCGATGGAGTTGGCAGGCAATGTCATAGAGAATGGCCACCATCACATCGTCTGGGAGGTGCTGGAACAAGGTTTCGAGAAGGGCGAGAACGTAGAATTGCTTCTCTCCCTTCGACTTCATGTTTGCCATCCACAGAACGCGATCATGGCGACAGAGGAGCGCCATGACTCCAGTGTCGTCAAATTCCCTGGCGTCAGATCTCATCCGGCTTTCATCTGCCGCTCTGAACGATTCCTCGCAGCCGTCCAGAACGGACTTGGGAACCTGCAAGCCCTCCTCGACGCGATCTTCCTCCTCATCCTCATTGTCCACCTGTTCCTTCGAGGGGGAGTAGGTCGAGGCATCCCTCCGGCAGCGTTTGTGGGCACGGGATTCTCGCGCAGGACCGCTACCTCGGACTTCATCAACATACTGCTCCATATCCTCGCAGGTCTGGGGGTTGAGGAAGACATTCCTGGGATGTGTCTTCGGTGGATCCATGTTTCCCGCCTCCCGCTTATGTGTGAAGCATGCGTCCGTGCACACACAAACATCCGCACTATAGAATGAATCAATCAGTATAGTCCATCACGGAATACGGGAGAAAGACTGACGTAGAACTTGGATCATGCTTGACATCCCCAAAGCATGCGGGGCAGCGGCGACGCAGATATTCCGAGGCCCGTGTCCGGTGCATTGGCGCACCAAATGGATTGGGATGGTCTAACGGCCGTTTGTGCTCGCCATGCCTGGTACCCGCCTCAGCGCGAGATGCCAAATGCTGGTCGTCTTTCACGGCAGGACCAACCAGGTCGCGACGAACTTTCTCCTGCTGCTCATCAACCTCTGCATCCACCACGTTACGCAGATGCAGATACCACTCCAGTGCCGACGCAAAAGAGCGTTGCAACGATCCCTTCAGCACACATCAGATTTGACATTACTGACAAGCAACTGACGCACCTCATGGTCTAACTGGAATCCCAAGCCTCGGAGGAAGGATTCCAGCGCTGTTGTCCATGCGGTGTTGTTTGGCGAAGTGCGAAGAAACACTTCTCGAGTCAACTCCAGTACATGGAGATCCACCGCAAATGACGGCAGCAATGGTGACGAGGGAAACGACCCTGAGCGCAGCAACTGCTCCGCCGCCGGGACACATTGACAAACATCGATCTCGACGTCTTGGATCTCTGTTGGGAGAGTTGATCAATCAAAATACTTTTGAAAGGAGCAGAGGGATGTACCGTGCATTCGCCAAACCGAGACCTTACAAAGCCGGGTCGAAGCGCAGGTGCAGATTCGACGACACAGTCTTGGAAGATCCTGAAGGCGCTGGAGGCCCCTCGTCGAAAAGAAGACATCACTGAATATTGGAACGAGGCGGGGGATGATTTTGTCCTGCCAGGCCTTCCACGCCTGATGGGTGGCCCGGTGATGACGTGAAGTTTTGAAGTCGGGGTTCATGAAGGGGGTGACAATAGGCGATAGATTGAATTCGGAGTTGGAAGGTGGAGATGGCGATAACGGCGACGCGCCCAGAAGAGGTGATGCGCCCAACCTTGTCGGAGTTGGTGGAACAACAAACGATCGCCTCGGCGTTGACGGGTTGGATGTTGGATGGGCGGGGAAGATAAGACACGGGGACGATAGTGACGAGTTTGTAGGGACGGGTGTGCTGGGACGTTTCGCGGAGCTGGGTTCCGCATCCTCTGCTGCAGACTTTTTAGGCAGAGCGACACGCACTGCCTTCTTTGTCTTTCCTGCTAGGCGGAATACAGGCTGGAATTTGTGCAAGTTCTTGCCCAGGCTGCGTTTCCTGGGTTTCGCGTCCACGAGAGATGTAGAGGACGCAATTGGCGCGTGTTTCGTCCTCTCGTTGAATCGTCCAGGCATTTCAAGGGAGCTGGGACTTGAATAAGACGCATACGTGAGCTTTCGGATTCTACACTCACCCAGCGGCACACTGCTATGGCCGCTTGAAGCAAAAGGGACACGTGACTGGTGATATTTGCAGACCACAATTCAGCCAAGCGTTGATGGTAGCAGCGGTGGCTGTGCTGTCGATCAGGTGGCTGTACCGTGCCAGACATCCAGAAACAAGTCTATTTATGCAGGACTGATGTGCGAAAGTAAGTTTATAGTTCAATCTTGCGCCCCGGACTCACTGTAAAGAATGTTTTTTGACTCTCCCGTTCAATGATAAAGACTGTATATGAAAAAAACGATCCTACTTCTGAATTCTGTACCGAGGCGCATAAGTGGAGGAAATGGTCGCGACCAACTCGGGACCTGGAGATGGTCACGACCAACTCTCCACTGACAGGTGGTCGCAACCATATGGCACATCGATGATGCGTCTTCAAAGTTTGCTCGCTGGTGCCTTCCAGCGCCATTCATGTTACGGATCTCTATTTCGTGTCAATTATAAGGGCCACATAGGCTGAATGTCGTATTCTCCGTTGCCTGGTCGCATAACGTAACCCGATCCCTCCATCCCTACCAGGACAGGAACTTCGTCATGTCCTCCTACAGTGCGCGCCTCAAGACCAGTGGCCCAGTGCTCAATCTCGTACGCAAGTTTTTCGGCTTGAGTAGGATACCCAAGTGGCCAGGTGAACTTATAAAGGGATTGTTGCATGCGCAACTCAGTGTGAAAGTGAATGGAGAAGACAGATGTTTTCATTGCCTCAACTTTCATGATTGCGCGGCGGAGCTCATCATGGTAGTCTTGTAGATCCAGTCCAATACCTAAGTCCTGAAAATGCATGTCAGATCTGTCGAGGTGCAAACAGGGTCAAACGCTCAGATTCACCGCGTCCAAAGACAGTATAGCCCACCAGGTGCATCTTATTCTCACTTGAACTTCGCTTAGACCGCCCCACCAATCAACAGGCTGATCTAAGTCCATACAGCAACTTGTTTCAATCGACTGGTGCCCATCGGGTGCTCGGGACTCGACAATGTTTGCCCACTCATGGACACGAAACGCAACAAACTCTGCGTGCGTTGGCAAGCCCTGGGGCCAGATGACATCCTGAAGAGTTTGGCCGCCAGCGAGCACAGAATCGGGAGCGATGGCATCCGTCGCAGTGAACATGCTGGAGAACTTGTCCAGACCGCGATAGAGGGCTTTTCGGAAGAAGCGGAAGTTGGCACACTCGTCGGGCTCCTGCATACTTTCGGTCTCATTCAATGCGAAAGGTCACAGAGGTCTGCCGTGTACCTCATCTTTCATGATGCACGCCCAGTTTCTTTCACGGAGAATCAATCGATGGTCTGTCCACCCAGGAGCTGCATCAAACCCGTAGAAAGAGCCCATTGTGACTATAGCGCCCTGCGGTAAAGTAGCGAAATGGTTGAGGCCAAGACACGAATGCGTTGTATGTGTTTGACGAGGCAAAACGCCTCATCTTGATGGTATTGATCAGGGCGGTGCAGATAAGATTGCTATTACATGAAGATCTCCTGCCCACATTCCATCTTACACTTGGAGGGCCAGATTCAAACTTTGTTCATAAAATGGCATGTACATCAGAGACAACAAGCGCTGGCAAGCATGAGTCACTTAGAGAAGGCCTATGGTTTTACAGGTAGTAGAATCATACATACTTCCACATGTGATATATTGAGAATCATCAGCAATATAATAAACAAGAGATCTGGGATAACTTATGTTTATTTCACTACAAGCTCCAATGGATGAGTGGTAAGCCTTTCCTTTGTCATGAGACGTTCTCCTCTGGCGTCTTGAGGTAGGTCATCCGTTCGAACTACGGTGGAAGATCCTTTTTTGCCTTGACTGATTTCTTTTGTTGACTGGTCGCGACCAACTTGTGGGCGAAACCAGTGTCACACTAGTTCATAAATGATATCGACACTCATTGTATGACCAGATCGCGCAACGAGACGATTATATTTACGACAGCAGTAATCATACTTCTACACTGCATCTAAGTGTTCCCAAAATATGAAGTGTCATACTTGACCTTCTTTTCCACACATGAAGCAACAGGCACGTTGAGTGATCCACAAAGCGAAGAGATATGGAAATTAGCCGTGACGTCAGAGGATGGGAAACTGACAGTGACATTGTCCCCCTGGCGGGTCTCGGGTTTTGTCCGCGCGTATTGACCGAGGTGGTCCTTCTTGCCATGCTCGTCGGGGCCAATAATGACAACACGGCAGGCGACGTCCAAGATTGACGGCAAAAGGGAGTGATCCTCCTCCCACGTAGTTGGTAGGCGACATCGAGCGGGTGTCAGTGCAATGGCCGGTGCCTTGATCATTTTCTGCTGTGTTGGCCCCAGAACGACGTGGAATGTCTTGCTCTTCAAGTTGGTCCAGTCCCTCGGAGGGACAATGTAACCGCGTCGGGATCCGGACGCGACAAGTAACTCCGTGAAAGCGGCAGAGCTACGGGAGCCTTTATGAACTTTCTGAAGAACGGACTCTGCCTCTTCTTTCCTCAATCGCTCCAGTTCCTCCTTTGGCTTGATGATGACGTCGACACACTTGCCCCGAAGTGGGATACCCGAGAGCCAGGCGTCGCCAGGGTCAGTTCGCTCAGAAGCGGCCGAAATGGACTGCTCAGCTGCAGTGAATTGTGGGCAGGCTTCGGGCTGTGGCGAAGGTGTGCGAAGTCTGGGGCTACTGAACACATCCATCTCCCCCATGGTTTGCATCCACAAGACCTTCCAAAGCGGGTACTGATAGCTCCCTCTGATTGGCATGAGCGAGCGTTGTAAGACTTTCGTGAACAGTACAAACCGGCGACACACCACATCCGAGGCTGCGACCAGAGTGTCAGTGGCACCAATTGCGCTATCCAAAGCAATCTGCAACTGGACATCGAGCAAAGCACGTTCAAGGGTGTTTGTGTTATCATCCAGACCCTCTTTAGAGATCTTCCTGCTGTGGTTGTAGCCCAATATTCGACCCCATCTGCCCTTGAAGGCACCATGGATGACAAGAACGACGATACCATTCAACTTCGGCAGACCATCTCCCATGTCGCGCCTCATTGCACGCAAACGCTTGTCCGCCTCGTTCAAGGAAGGGACGACTGTGCTCATTGGTAACGAGGAGGAATTGAAAGATTGAACGAGGTCGAAGGACTTGACCACGAGCTGCAATATGATAAGATTCGGTTTTGAAGAAGCCCGTGAGGAACGACCCACCGACTTCGCCAGCTGCGTATGTAACCGATCAACATTTTTGTCCTCCATGTTGTGCCAATTGTGGAAGACTTCGTTCAGGATTTCGTCTGATGTCGTCTAACGGAGGTCAGTTTCCGCTACTCCTTTTGTGCGGCGAACACACCAGTTGTATCTCGACATCTCCGTTCCCCGACAATCCAACCACAAAGCCCACCAATCCAGCATAGACTGCGGAGATACTGAAGGGATGTTCCGTGATTTTGACAATGTCGCCCTGCTCGAGGAGTGTGTGGATGCAGCGGCGCGGAACAATGACCGCCTCTGGAGATGCGATGTCGGAAGAAAGGATTCGCGCCGTCGATTCATCGACTTCGCTGACACGCCCAATCACACCTCTGGGCAGATGCCCCTCACCCTGGGCCATTACAACTCTGTCACCAACGTTGATGGACCGCGGCGGGCACAGAGGATGTCTGGAGAGGTACTTGACTGGCACTTCCCAGGTTTGGCAGCAGGTCACCACCCGGTCGCCATCGCCATCCGGGAAAGGATACTCATTCACTCGCAAGGTCGCGATTCGCTGGTCATCAACAAAGGAAATGCTGACCACCCATGCATCCCCTTTGCCTTGGGCTTTCCGGCGATTATCGAAGACTCGGTCGCCAGCCTGCAACGCGCATCTCGACAAATCCTCGCAATGTTGATCGAAACATCCCAAGGTTCCATCTAAACGCATGAACTCGGCCAGCTCGTCGCGCGGCGGGGGTTCGGTGAGAAACTCGACAGGTCGGGCGGGATCATTGATATCGCAGTCGACAGACTCGAAGGGACCCCAGAAGGTGCGATGAGCCCATGTTAAGTGTTCAGCATGGACAAAATGGGATTCTTCCTCGTCATCCGAAACTCGATCATAGACAGGCCGCATCGCGGAAGGAATTCTGGAGATATCGAAGCCGCTGTGTTTCGGTCGGCTCTGATCAAGTGCAGGTTGTGCGGACTCCATCGAGGGATACCAGATGCGTGGGATTAAGATAATGGTTGTCTTGTCTTGAACAAAGACGAGGTCCCCGCGATACAGCTTCACAACAGAAGGGTAATTGCTGGGGCGGATAGACGAACTGCCATTTCCTGTCATCCGCGCCCACCCGCTACCTTCTCTGGGAGTGACGTCCAAAGCGGCGGTCAAAGACATGAGGTCCTCGAGCACTTCATATCCGTGGCGAGACATGTAGCCGAAATGTTTGTATCCGGAAAGGTCTGAGGAACGGGGGGATCGCATTGTGCCGCAAAGAAGGGAGAGCTCAACGGCGGAGACGTTGGAAGTGTGAACAAAGACTGATCGTGGTTGGCGAGCATTGGACCACACGAAAGAGAAATCGGGAATGAGATGTGCATTGGTACAGGCCCATTGAAGGAAGTCGAGTTCCTGCCCTTGGGGGACACTGAGTTGGACAATGGGACCCGAAGGAATCATCGTTTGCCAGTCCAATTCAATCGCTTCCCGGCCATTGAGCTCAGATTCCTCATCGTCGAGAAGCATGTTGTCCTCCTGCGACAAGCCTGGAGACTCAAACCGACGTTCCATCTCAAGAGCCAACTCCGGGATGGTTTGTCGATGTGGGCCGCCGGTGGAGCGCAGCCTCTCAACAATGCTATCTCTAAGTTCGCCAGCTTCTGAATCCTGATCTCCTTCCGCATCAGTGTCCCCGTCTTCGTCGCTTGCATACTGATCGAGGA